CCGTTTCAAAAATGAATGACCACTTTCTAAATTTGAAAATAATTTAGCTTAAATTTCCAATTCTATCCTTAATGAGAAGCTTTTATAACCACACAAATACTCTGAACTCCTTTTTAACTTATTTAGGACCACAATTTCAAAAAGATATATTTTTTCCTAAATTCTGTGTCTACTCAAACAGATTCACATAAATTGAAAGAGAGTACATTTTTTTTTATGGGTGGTCGACAGTGGACACGACACGACAATTGTATCTTTCGTAGGATTTTTAACTATTCCGGTCAGTTTATTTTTGTCTTAATCTGATAATTGGGCTGTCACTAATCACTATCAGGGTATTATTAGTGTCTAAAGGAAAAAGTAGATTTCCTCAGCGCCCTCAACTCGAGTTCTAAATTTGGAACGGGAAATTTTAATTTAATTTTTTTTTTTCGTGTGTGATGAATAATGAAGGAATAATTATAATAAAAAAACTGTTAGATTGTGAGTGGCAACTACCATTGAAGAGATTATTGTTAGGCGCGAAAAACCTATTCTATGGATATTTAGTTTTAAATAGACTATTTTATTTATGGAAGGGGAGCGTTGACGTAACTGGTAAAGTTGTTGCTATGTGAGCAGGAGGTAGTTCGAGCCGTGGAAACATCTTGCATAAATGCAGGGCAAGGTTTGCGTACAATAGACCTTTGTAGTCCAGTCCTTCCCCGGATCCTGTGCATAACGGGAGCTTAGTGCACCGAGCTGCCCTTTTAATCTATTTTATTTATTATTAATGTACATATTCTTATTTCATAATTTTATTTTATTTAAGATAATCATAATTTTTTGCCTTAATGTGAGTATTAGTTAATACCACTAATCGAATCTACATTAGATAATACAAATATTTTTTCTTGTGCAACCAGAGGGGCGTGTATATATACCTCCAACCGGTATCACAAGATACCACATTTCGAAAATTTTTACTAGACATATCCATATAAATAATTGGTAAAAATTATTAGGTATGAATATGTAAAATCGCTTGTCATTATAATAATTTTTTCATTTGATCAGTTTTTTAAATATTTACACCGTTTACGAAAAATCTTGTGTATGTTACTGTATGTAATCAATCAAACATTGTACTCCTCTATTCTAATATATGTGGCACACTTTTCTTATTAGTTGTCTCCACAAAGAATGACACATTTATAAAAATAATTTAATTTTATACATTTCATTTACCGATTTTATTTTTTATGACAAAATTCTTTTTAGTCATTATGACCCATAAAGCTTTTATCCTTAATATTTTTAAGGTTATAAGTTTCAAAAATCTTTTCTTTTATCTTAAACTCTATGTCGAATCAAACTATCTTATTTAAATTAAAGATGCGAGATTTTACACTAACATTAGTTATACCCACAACCAGAGGCGAATTCGAAATTTTAGGTTTATGTGTTCCTATAAAAATCTCGAGTTAATATACAATACTAACTGGATGAACGGATTGGATTCCAAACAAAATATTCTTAAACATTTAATGATTTTTTCAATAAAATATAGATTCTAGACAAAAGCTACTGAGTTTACGGGAAACCGTTGCTATTAAACTGAATCCACCCAGCCCACAGTCAACCAAACTACCCCTTGAATAATTAATTCATGCAGCGAATAGAAAATGTGACTTTTCTAGAAGCAAAGGATGAAGAGAGAGAAGACTTTATCCAAATTAATGGTCAAAATATTCCGAGGCAAAGGAATCCCCTTTTTTCTTTTAGAATACAATTTTTATGCGAACCCTCTATTGAATAACTATTACAGCATTGACTCAAAAATGTTTTTACAGATTCAGTTTTTGTACTAAAAAAAGAACACAAAAAGAATTTAAAAACATAAACAAATAAAGAAGTAGAGAATTCTTGAATATTCTACTTTGAAAACTTTACAATATTGAAATTCTTTTGCAGCAAAATTCGACCAACTCATCACGAATAAACAGATAAAAATGAGTCAGTATACAATATATCTTTTGAAGGCACGTACGTCCTTTATATCTTTATATATTTGGTCAAGGAAGTGCAATATTATCTGCAAGATAAAATTTTTTGCGGCACTAATTTAATACTTAACTCATTAACTTTCTCTACGTTTTAATGAGCTTATTATAGCCTTAAGGCAAAATACCTTAAACCACCCCTAAACTTGGCTCAGATTATTAGTATCCTCCCCGAACAATAGCCGGTCTTAATTACCCTCCTCAACTTGGTCTTTTGAGAGACATTATCCCCCTAGACGCTGATATGGCAAAAATTGTGGGTGCATTCGCCTGCCATGTGGATTTTTCTGTATATGTGGCATTTTTTTGAAAAGTAAAATATATCTTTTACCTTTTTAAGAATATTGCTTTTTTAGATAATTTTTTTCGAATACAATTTATAATAAAACTTGGATAGAACTACATTATTTAGGCTAAATATTTTTATTTGGCCAAAAATAATAAAGTTTTAGTTAATCTTTATTTGAGTTTGACCTGAAAATAAAGATTTACACAATTGAAATAAATAGTCAAGCATCTAAAAAGTTATAAAAAATACATAGCTTGAAATTAATTATTTTGGCTATAATTTTTATATAGCTCTAAATATGGTGCTCTAAAAATATTAATTTTTACAGATTTTACCTAAAAAATTAAAAATACACAGTTGAAATAAATAGTCATTGCATCAAAAGAAGAAATAAAAAGAGTATACAATTGCAAGAAATAAAATGAATCACTTGCATTATACTGCAATTGTACACTCTTTTTATTTCTTCTTTTGATGCAATGACTATTTATTTCAATTGTGTATTTTTATTTTAGATAAAATGTGTAAAAAATATATTTTTAGAGCACCGTAATTTAGAGCTATATAAAAAACTATAGCCAAAATAATTAATTTCAAACTATATTTTTATAACTTTTTAGATGACTTGACTATTTATTTCAATTGTATAAATTTTTATTTTCAGGTCAAATTCAAAAAAAAATCTAACTAAATCTTTATTATTTTTGGCAAAATAAAAATATTTAGCATAAATAATGTAGTGCGATCCAAGTTTTATTATAAATTATATTCGGAAAAAATTATCTAAAAAAGTAATATTCCTAAAAAGGTAAAAATATATTTTATTTTTTAAAAAAATGCCACATATACAGAAAAATCCACGTGGCAGGCGAGGGCACCCACACTTTTGCCACATCACCGTCTAGGGGGGTAATGACTGTTAAAAGGCCAAGTTGAGGGGGTAATTAAGACCGGGCATAGTTCGGGGAGGATACTAATAATTTGAGCCAAGTTTAGGGATGGTTTAAGGTATTTTACCTAGCCTTAATGTATGTAGTAATAAATGACAAAATCCAGATTTTATACCAGTTAAGTTCAACTATCCTTGTAAAACAAGTGTTTACTTTCAAGTCAGTTAATAAGTGAGGAAATAAAATATTTTTTTTTGGCTCTGCACCTTTTGACAATTTTGATCCTTATTATTCTTTTCAAGAATTCATGATTTTGTAATATTATCATTATCTCGTAATCTCTTGAATAAAAATTAAATTGTTAATAGAGGTGAAGTCAAGATTTAAAGTTTATGGGTTCGAGATTCTAATTATTTTAGGGGCATTATCACTTTTAGCCCACGATAGAAACTATTTACATTTGGTAGCCGAAAAAAAAAAAAAAAAA